AGATTAATAAATTTAAAATTGGAAACCCGAAATTTCAACACAAGCCGGTGAAATTCATGAGGTGTATTATTTCACGATATGGATTCGTAAAATTTAAGGCACAATCTCAACATTCAAATTGTAATTGATAGACTCCGGCTTTATCTAGTTAAGTAATTTTATCTTTGTTGTTCAGTAACTGATTTCTGGTTGAATTAATTTTTATAAATGAAATATTAACATTTTTATTCACTCTATTTAGTATGTTTTTAATTTTGTAAGATAATGTTTCAATAAAATCCAGAAAATAATATCTACCTATGTCTTCCTTAGTATCATGGTCCGTTTTGAACAACGAGCAACATTGTTTTTTTTTTAATTTTGTATCTTATTTTGTCAATTAGATTGTGGATTAATTTTACTTTAAAGTCATTATTTATTGCAATTTGTTTTATGGACTGAAGTTCTTTATTATAGTTTTCATGGTTTAGATTAGAATTGAACAATATTTCAATTAAAGATGCAAAAGTTGATATTTTATGAATCCATAGGTGGTTGGAAGAATTGCAAATAATGTTGTCTGTGTCTGTTTTATTGGCCCAATATCTTACAAAATTAAAAACATTCTTGGAGAAATATTAAACACGAGAGGCCAAAAGTTGCTATAAACGAAGTCATTCTTTTCATCTTTAGTACACTTTGACCCCATATGGATTCATACAAAACAACTTTCAGGCTCACAGTCCAAGGGGACATTAAATTAGTAACCCTTGTTTTAAGAATACCAAATCGTCTTTCAAATATCGGCGGATTGAGAAATTAATAAATCAAAGGGACATATTTATAATTATGTTGTTTACTGTGGAGTATCTACGAAAAAAATCCAAAGACTGTGATTCCAAAAGTTAATTTAAATCAAATAATAGTTTTTATCCATAGCAACATTTGGGTTCATAATTACTGCTCCATTAAAATATTAAACTGGTTTTTCAAATTTCGCTTGTTTCTTGGATAAAATAATATAAAATACGAGAGGCCAAAAATTGCTACAAATGTAATTAATGATTATAAAAGAGTATAAGTAATTATTTTCATCTTTAGTACACTTTTGTCACACAAATTCATACAAAACAACTTTCAGGTTCACAACTCAAGCTAAAGTTAAATTAATTGTCGTTGTTTTAAGATTATCAAATTGTGATTCAAATACCGGAAGAAAGAAAAACAAATCTAAGAAACAATTTCATGGTGATACTATTAACTGTAAAGTACCCATGAAAAAAATCTAAAGAATGCGATATCAAAAGTTACTTTATATCAAATAATACATTTCATGCATAGTAACATTTGATCTTATAATTACATGTTTCGGAATAATGAGCTTCATATCTATCATTTCAAGTACAATTTTTGTTTTTGGAAATGAAATTCCAAGTGATTAGAAAATAAAACAGAAGCTCAAAAATGTATGGAAACGATGCATGACGTTCCAAGATATTAATTCCTAAAATTTAAAGCACACCCTTAAGCAAATATCCAGATTGGCTCCATAAGTAGAAAAATAGTTTAAGAGATTAACAAAAACTTGTACTGCTAATTGTAGAAGTGCCTGTACACACAACCATAAAAGTAAATTTCTTACTCCAACTTAAACTGGTATTTTAAAATTGACATGTACGCCTTTCTTGGAGAAATATAAAAAGAGAGGTTAAAAGCTGCTAAAAAATAGTAATGTTTCTTTTTTCGAAATCGCGCAGTAATGTGCTTTTTCTATGTTCAAAAATCGGCACAGAAATTAAATGCGGTGTTGTCATATTAGTATTATCTACCTCCACAATTACATTTTACAAGGTTATAAATTGTTTTTCGGTTTAGCAGTAATTCTATACTCTTTGATAACCCTTTTTATTAGTTATTAGAAACACATCCGGTTTATTAATTTTATAAATATAATTTATTAACTAAATTTGCGCGTAATCTCGCAACGTCGCAACCTTGCATGGCAACAGCGGATTTCTTGAAGTGCAGCGACATTCTATGGCAGCGAACAATGTGTATCCACATAACCTGTAATAAGTTTTTGTTGGGTGCAGAAACAACCATGGAAAACATTATATGGAGAATATCTCATTTTGCATACGAGTATTTCGCTGAAAAAGAAAATTCTGTGAAATCAACATTTTGGGCTACATAGTCGTTGTTAAAGTCAACTCTGTTAATATAAAACAGCATAGATATAATCTAAGTACACCAAGTTCTCAAGCAAAAAATATAGGTTATGTTTCCCAGAAATCAAATATATTTACAAGAGAAAACTTACGAAAATTTTTAACAGAGGCCCGTGATTAATGTACCTAATGTCAAAGGTAATCTCAAAGAAGGTCAATCACATTGTCTATAAAACATAATGTTTTAGGTATATTTTTTATTCGAAGTTGTAGGAGTATGCGGAAAGGAAGAATTTGAACAATTTTCTTGTATCTACATAACCTATAATAAGCTTTTATTATTATTACAGAACAGATTATTAGCTTACATGCCCATTTTAAATGAAAGTATGAAGCATACCTCTTATTTTTCGGCACTTTTAATATTTTTGCTTGCAGAAAGATCTGCAGCAATTGCAAAATAGAGATGGATAGCAATAATAACAAGCAGTTTACATGCATTCGACCGAACTTGCAAAAACTGGCAGATAATATATCAAATTTATTACCTAAAAACTCAGCCACAGTTTATGAAAAGCGGTATGAATTTTTTTTTTTTTGCGCAGAAACAACCATGCAAAATATATGGAGAACACCTCATTGCATACGAGTATTTCGCTGAAAAAGCAAATTCTGTGAAATCTTTAACACTTTGGGCTGCATAGTCGTAGTTAAAGTCAACTCTGTTAATAAAAAACAGCATAGATATATCTAAGTACACCAAGTTTTCAAGCAAAAAATATAGGTTACATTGCCAAGAAATCAAATATATTTACAAGAGAAGACTTACCAAAATTTTTAACAGAAGCCCGTGATTAAATGTACACGATGTTAAAGGTGATCTCAAACAAGGTCAATCACATTGTCTATAAATCATTATGTTTTAGGTTTATTTTTTATTAGAAGTTGTAGGAGCATGTGGAATGGATAAATTGAAAAATAATGACGGCATTCAAGACAAAAACGATACGCTAATAATTAAAATTCCAACGTCTAAAACTGGCAAAGCACGAGAATTTACAAATATGCGTAAAAATATTTATCCAATTGAAATATAGTAAAAATACCTAATTTTAAGACCGCACCATACACCAGACAAATCATTATTTATACATTACATTTGGATAGTGAATGCAGCAGCTGCTGCATTGTACAAATATACCTGCAAACACACTGTAACAAATTATGCAGACACCTCTTTTGACTAAAAGATATATATTTAACTTTATCCATACGTTGTCAACTTTGTTAATAATTGCAATCTCTAACTTCATAAGAAATATGAATAATCTACTTTGGTGTTTTATAGTAGTATTAAATGTTCATAGAATATAATTGCACTTACTACGAAGTAAGCTTTCCTAGTTTTAAGTTGTTTTCTTTTCTCTTTGATTATCTTAATTTCTTCAGCCTCTATGTGGCTGTTTTAATTCCAAAAAATTGTTTCTGAATAAACTGATTCATACCACTTTTTCTTTCTTTTACTCGAAAACAGTTTAAACTATAACTCCAAATATTTACCTACTTTACAACGTGTCAAGCATTCGGTTGTTGTAAATGATGCAACCATAAATACAAATTTGAACACTGATATGACAGGTTTGAGGCTAGGATGTGGTTTTCATATACTCCCATTACTTGTTGCCTAAATCTGGCGCGAGGCCAAAAGTTATTATTGACGTATATATATATATAGATATAACACATATGTATCAATATAAAATTTCCAAGTATGTACTTTAGTTATCCATGGCACTAAAGTTTGAGTCATTAAATTTTGTTTTAAGTATTTAACTGCTAAAATCGAATATTGCATCAAGCTTGTTTCTATTCTAAATACGAGTATGTTACTTGTGTAAGAATAACAGAACAACTTTTATTTTCTCGGACTGCGTATGAGTCTCACCCCCTCTTTAGCTATAGAACCGTGGAGAAAAATCAAATGATGCTGATTGACGTTATAGTGACGTGCTGTGACCTTGAACCGACAAAACTACGACATATAGCGAAAAATGTTTTATATAGTATTGGGAGAGAATGCCCCCTTGTTTGAGAGCGTATTTCATACTACACACCAAAGTTTAAAAAAAAAACAGCAATCCAAAAAAAAGGAAAATACTTTTGGTTAGTTCTTAAAAAAATTAATATTAATTAGACGACCTTATTATCTGCAAAATGCGTTTCTCCAACACTTTTAGTTAAAATAAAGCAGATAAGAGGTTTCGTTGCTGTTAAAAGGTCCAAAAAGTTCATATCAATAAATATGTTTGTTTCTTTTTTTTTGTAACGCTGTTTTTTTTTAATTATGGTATCATGTAAAATGAAATAAGCTCTCAAAAGAGGAGTCATAAAATTATCTGCCATTTAAAAAGTTCTATCCATATGTTACAATTTTGACTATGATGTCAATCAGCCTTATTTGATTACGCATTCATCTGTTTTAAATTTCATAGTTCCACAGTTTTAGGAAGGTGGACTGACTTCAAAACAACGTGGAATGCATTATTAGATTATTACGGTGTGCATGATCTAAACCAGTAGCTTTTGTATCGCTACGGTAACTTAACTCTAACATTCATGCATTCCATTTTTAACTCAAGATTCATTGTTATACTGAAGCAAGGACGAAAATTATTTAAACAGTTTTTACAAGGTAAATTCGAATCCAAAACTGACCTCATTGACCAGAATAGGTCAGTAGGAATTAAATGTAAATTATCTAAAAGATTGCTTTTATTTCTAGACACTTTATTGTCCAAGACCACTGTATTGTCCTCCCTCCCTTTTTTAATCATATGGTATATTAATACATACCTGCAATTGGTGGTCCAATAAGTGAAGCTACACCTTGAAATAAAAGCAGAAGTCCAAATGCATTGGTAAGTTTTTCAAGTCCCAGCAAATCGACTAAAATTACAGAAGTAAGACCAACATACGCGCCTATTGTAAACCCAAAAACACTCGCGTACAATGCCAAACTGTAGAATGTAGGACAGAAAGCACTCAATGTTGTTGCTACAAATAAAATAAATATTTATTTATTGTAAAAGCATTCTGTTAGACATACCTACTCCACAAAGTGTTAAGCACCAGTTGTAAACAGTGAGACGATTCACCCAGGGTTTATCGGAAATATATCCTAGAATGATTCGACCAACTGTATTGGCTATGCCGATGATCGATAGAAGCATACTTGCTTCTTCTGCAGAAAGATCCAGACTTTTTGCTTTCGGAACTATATAAACGTAAGGAACGTTGAAGCCTACACTTGTAAGAAAATTGCTTAAGGTAAATATAATAAAAATCCAGTCATTAAAAAGAGAAACATCTAACATTTCTTTTAAAGTATCTTTAGTTTCTTGTGAACACGGGATAATTCCACATAATAGTATTCCTGACGTATCGCTTTCGAAATGTCGCCTTCTGTAACCTATGGAAGAATGTCTTCGACCCAAAAACGTAGAATCCTCATTGTGTTTTAAATCAAGACGGGAACGATATGATGATATGTTTTTTAAACTACCTTGATAAAAAACATCAGGTTTATCTAATGGACCGTATTTTCGTAAACTTTGGCTTCCATAACGTGGCTGGTAAGGACGTTCAGGTGGTGCTACTAGGGTTGGCTGACTTAACGCCATTCTAGAGTTTTGATGGTTTTTACCGTTTGGTATACTTTTATTGTCTTCTGTTGATTTATTTCCTTTAGGCACTGAAAAGTGACTCATACTATGGGGACGATCTATTTCAGCGTTTCCATTAATTTTAGTCGAAAATTGTAAATTATCTTCAGATACATGTAAATCTAGTTTACCGTCGGTTTGTTTAAGACTAACAATCATTTCGGGTTGTGCATTTTTCTCTTGTTCTAAAGGTCGAAATAATGCTCCGAATATAATACATTCTAAGACAGTGCCGGCTATTATTAGCATAGCTCCTCTCCAGCCGTATTCTGATAATAACTTGGTGATAATGGGGGCAAAGACAAATGTTCCAAAACCCGAACCACATACTGCTATGCCAGTAGCTAAGGATCTCTTTTTTTCAAAATAAGTTGTTACACTTACAATTGCTGGCAAATATATAAGACCAAAACCCAGACCTGTGCCTATTCCAATGGTAAAATACAGAGTCGTTACGTTTTTGGCAAAGACTGACAAGATCATGCATATACTAGCAAGTACAGCACCAGCGATGGTTACTAGGCGGCAGCCCCAACGATTCACAAACGAACTTGAGATAGGACCTGAAAAATGTATATACTTTATTAACAGTTTTAAACAATTAATTCGTTCTTTGTTGTCACAAATTTTCCGGAAAAAATTTGCAACAAGTGTTATTCTTGTGTATAAATAACATAAATCGATTCTTTTTTCACTTCACTTTTAGAAAGTGAACGTTTCTTAGTTAGTTTTTGAATCAGGTCGTAGAAATATGGTCTAAATATGTACCTATAACGAATACATGGAGAAAATTCTAGTTTAAATGTTTGTTAACGGAATAATCTCGATGTAAGGAAGTTATAAAATTTATATCTAAGTATTTTATTAAACGAAATTGTTGTAGAGTAGTAGTAAATTTATTCGAAGTTGACATATCTTTATCAGGACATTTTCGGAAGTTTCAAAACAACCGAAACATACAACATCGTTTTTTTTTTAATTTATATAACAATTTTGTAACTTAGAACGTAAAACGAGAACTTTTTTTGTTGAACGCTTGATAACTGTTGTTACAGGATTTGCTTTTGTAATAACGATTTGTGTTGCAATTACCATTAATTTATTCATAATTCTTCGATAAAGAATGACAATGACCATGTGTTTAGTTGCACTAATAAAGATAATTTTATTTGTTCAAACACTAAAGAGCGTCCTTGCGAAAGTATAAGTGATAAAGTTATCATCTAATAACTAAAATAATAAACGAAAAAAAAATATTGCTAATTAACGGGACTTTAAATGAAAATGATTATTATTTCTTGATGTTTAACTAATTGTAATGTTAACACAGATCTCACCGAGGATCTAATTTTAACTTTATCAATGCTTTTATTACATTTGTTAAACCTGGTAAGTTATGTTCATATTTTAATTCACCAGTTGAAAAAGTTACTATGAAAACATTATACAAGAATGTTTTCTATACTCTTGTTTGAGAGGCTTCATATAATTTCATTTTAATAAAATCTTTTGCCAATTTGATTAGGCTTCATGAAGTAATTAAAAATTATTCCAAAAATTATAAAAACTACCATCGATAATTGCAGAGCCTTAACTAAAATTTGTTTTTCATCTTTATACCACGAAAAATAATGACCTCATCTCTAAAAGATTACATTAGAATTTATTTCGAAATTTGGATTGCGGAATTATTCCTTCCTCTTCTTTTTGAAACGCTTTCTATGCGTAATGCTGCTTTTTTGTGTATGACAATATATTCATCTTATTACAACAATGAAAACGTCTTTTCAAAACATTGCTCAAGACAGATACTACATTAATAAATAAAATTTGTATACTCGTGGTTTGACTAGCCGTCGCTATTTTTAACTTCACCAGTGCGAATAATTGTCTCCAAAAAATGGACTACAAATTTCTTCTGTTAATTTCAAACATTACGTTTACGTAACGAAATTTTGGCAAGATACAGTATTAAGTAAAATTTATATATTTACCATCTATAAACCCTTGATGACCTCATCCCATCAACTATCTCAATAAATTAATTCATAATGAGATTTATTTATTAAGTACCTACATACGACTATCATAATGAACGTATTTATTTATCTTCATCAAACACTGGATGTATCTCAAAAAAGTTAATTTTTATACATTGTTGATTATTATCTTCCAAAGCTACATTCTGTTGTCATACTTGGCGTTTCGCAGTTCGTAGAACATCTACCTACTCTTTTTCTATTCATTAATTATTTTGGGACATCTTGCACACACAATAAAAGTAATGATTTCGAGACAAATCGTACCCTATAATTATTTTTCTTGCGATAACTTATATGTGTAATGTTAAAAATATGACAGATATAGGGAAAGGGGGGACCGTCATGTCCTCACTTTCGTATTCTAGAAGCTGTTAAAAACGTAGAGAAAACATAAAATTAGTTAGACTTTCGTCAAGATGACGTTATTATCTAAGAAGGCGACATATTTCGCAGACAATTTTTGGTGATACTAGGATTTATCATCTCGTTATTATCACGATAATTTGGTTGTTTAATATTAAATTTTCTCTTACGTAAATACGAAACTGGAAAACTAACCTGAACACAAGGTTACGCCCACCAAGATGGAAAGTATCCATGCAGTTGCAGCTTTTCCTTCCGCAAAGTAATTTAAAAATTCGTCGTAAAATACACCAAAAGAGTAAGTAACACCATCAGCTGTAACAGAAATTTTATTACGTTAGTACAGTAATTATTAACACATTAATTTTGATATAGGTAGATAATAATAAATAATATATAACATTAATTACATTCTTAAAAACATAATTCATAAAATAAAATAGCCAAAAATTAATTTCTCTAACATAATTCATACTATTTGAACGTTATAAGTGTTATACTCGTATGTTATAAACTAACAAGTATCAGATAAAGCATGATTAATATTATATCTTCTGGCGTACGTTTGAATAAATTCATTTTTTCCACTAGTAGCATTACAATGGCTAATTGTCGACTTGTCTAGAGGTCTGTAATTTGGAAAATTGTAAACCTTGGTCAATAATGTAAACGTGAAGTTGGCCACCTAATGTGACAACTGTCCACAACTGTCAGAAAAACTGAGACATAACCTGAAAACGATCATTTTGGAAAATTTGCTTTTAAATTATGCCCTGGAATGATTTCCAAAGCCTGAATTGATTATAAATTGAGGATAAATTGGTGAAACAACGTTGATGAAGTTGATGGGAGTGAAAATGAAGTTTACGGTACTGAAATTGAATCATAGTTCCGATTTGGTTTGACTTGATTTGCCGTAGATGAGCTTTGGACGATTTCGGCGATTTTTTTTTTATTGAAGATCGAGCCGTCGTTGTATCCTTCTGCTATGCTGGAGGATTTCCATTCCCCGTGTCGCTTTAACGATAAAAGGTCCATACCTTTTTCAGCCAAATTTGTCGCGGTCGCGTAAATACGACGGAATGGGGAGGGGTACATGATGGTTCACTTTACAACATTTTTCACACAAAAATTTATTAAAAACGGGAAATATGGAGGAAATTAAAACAAAAGTTCTGGACCATTTCTGGATTGTCAAAAAATAATAAAATTCCAAAGCTTACTAAAATGACGTGAGTACACGTTTTTTTTGATGCACTTCAGAAAAAACATTTTGAAAATTCGCAAACCTCAAATGGGCTACTAGTGGAAAAAATAGTATATTAACCACGTTTGTGAAGCCAATTCTAGACCTCGCGCTTTAGAGCCCTCGACGCTGCGCGTCTCAGGTTCTAATTTGCGCTCGGTCTAGAATGTCTGTCTTCACAACCTTAGTTAATAATATACTATTAGTAACTTGTGTGGATATCTACATCTTCTATAATATATTTATTACATAGTAAAATTTTGTACAATCAGAATTTGATCATGTCAGAGGAAAAATGCAGGAGTTTTTTAAAATCCAGTTAGAATTTTGATAAAATGGACAGAGTTTTAGTTTCTCAGGCATACGGCTTGTACCCCTGGTGTCCGCCAAGGATCTATTTTGGGATCATCTTTATCATCATATTTATTTATTAATGATATTGGTAGAGAATTTGTCTGCTCTTTCCAGTGCTGAGACTAGAGAATATTTTGGTATAGGCGAACCTTGCGTTAGGCGCCCATCCTTTACACATAAAAAATTCAATTTTACAGAACAATTTTACTTATATTTTTTAATAAGTATACAAAACAGATACTATAATAAAATATAAAAAAAGGAAACAAAAAAAATCATTCTTGGTTAGTACAACATAATTTTTGGACGAATTTGGCGCCCCTTGTCGTTGGCGCCCCTAGGCAAGGGCCTACTTCGCCTATAGCTAGTTTCGGCACTGGCTCTTTCAATTTATTTGCCGCTGATTTAAAAATATAGTTTTCAAGGGTTTTCATTATAGCGTTATTGCAGCCTATTACACACGACTTTGCAGCCACGAGCGCAGCGAGTCGCGTAATTCGAGGGAGTGTGGAATAGGCTTACCACTCGAGTTGTATACTATACTTTTTCTGCGACTACGACTACGAAAAATTAAAATTACAAAATCAAATTTTATTTACTGAAATTACAAATTTTTCTTCATGTAGAAAAAAAAAGTACTACGAGAACACCAAGAGTAGAAGAACAAGTCATCGAAATTTTTGAAAATCAACCCCGACGAAGCACTAGCGCAGTTGCATAAGATGTTGGAATTCACTTTACATTAGTGCAAACAATTTTAAAGAAAGAAAATTCCCATCCAATCCATTATACAAAAGTCCAAGCTTTTTATCAACCCCGGATGAAATTCTGTAGTTGGCTGCTCTGGGAATATGAAAGAGGCAAAAAACATATTATTATCAATCTGATTTTCGCGGGCAGTAATTTTCAGCTTGCGTAATAATCACTACTGGGATTTAGAAAATACACACGTTGTACGAGTAAGAGGATAAAAACATAAATCTGTTTTTAATTTTTGGGCTAGAATAATTAAGAATCAACTTCTTGGGCCACAGATATCATCCAATCGTATGACTGGTCAAAGTTTTCTTAATTTTTACTTTTTCTATAGGTCTCCCGTTTCCGTCTGTCTGTCTGTCTGTCTGTCTGTCTGTCCGTCTGCCGTCCCGGATTTTTAATGGACAGATAATCTCAGAAAGTACTGTGCCGATTGTTGTTAAATTTTGTATTTATATTAAGTATATCATGTAGATTGTAAAACGCTAACCGAAATTTGTCTATCATTCCCACCAATCATGTGATGACGCCACTTCAAAATTGTACACAGTAAATGGGTTTCAAATTGTATAAAATAACATAGTACTATACATGAAGTTTATGATTTCGTATTGAGTTTTTACCCGAAACGTTAAAATTTTTGGAAAAAAAATCAAAATCATAAATCAACATTTTGTGATTTCATTTTGAATTTGCTACACCGAATGCGTTGATATCTTGCAGATGTTTTAAGGTTATAAAGATCATACTAAATTTTTAGCCAAAATATATTTGCTTATCCCCTCCAAAAAATTGATCACGTCAACTTAAAAGTTTGCCGAATAAATCGTATCTAAAATGTACAAAATATGATGAGTCTGTATTTGTGATTTATCATTCCATTAATATTTTTTGGATTTGCGTATACAGGGTAATTAAAAAAAAAATCATTGTATTTCACGAGCGAGGAAAGTTCTGTCGAAACAACTTTCGACCAATTTTTACTTCCCGAGCGTAAGCAAAGCAAGTATTGTAATCGAGTCTCTCGGCTGACTCTCTACTTTTACGTTTTCTCGATCTTTCATGGCCCCTAGAAGACGAAGAAATAGGTCTCCCATTTCCGTCTGTCTGTCCGTCTGTCTGTCCGTCTGTCCGTCTGTCCGTCTGTCTGTTCGTCTTATTTACATTTACTTTAACATTACAGACGTGCATTTGTTTTGTGCGCTGACTAGGTTCCGCGAATGTGGTATAGACATGTTATAATCAACCAATTGTGAATTCCACCGTCAAAAATTAAAATAAAACCCAATGTTTTATATAATAAGCGGAAGTCGAAGCAATAAAAATCTCTAGACGACCACCGGTTTTGTTTACAGTTTCTCTGTTTGACTCTCACGTATACAGTCTCAGCAAGTGTTATGCTTGTCGTCTTAAATTAAGAATGCTTATACATAAACGATTTTCAGTTGCCTCTCCTAATACACGTCGTATACGTGAGTAAATTGTTTCGTTATTTTATTGATTATTACAAATCAAAATTCAAAACGACCCAATTCATTTTCCCGAAAATTTGGGAATACAATAATTTTATTCTAAGTATTACACTACATCTATCCCACCTGATATACGTGTCCTTGCAAAAATGTTGATGACGTCATCGCATTTTTTTTAATTCCCCACTACAAAAATGTAATGAGAAAAAAAACACAACAGTCGTCAAGTTTCGGACAGCGAGGGAAGTACTGTCTAAACACTTTGAACCAATTTTTTTAAATAACGAATATCAAGAATTAATAGAAAATATTTCACTAGCCGGAGAACGTAACATGTGGTTTGAACTTGATGGCGCCTCTATAGATTTTTCTGTAGATGTCAGACGGTGGTTAAATACAAATTTTAACAATCGTTGGATGGGTCGAGGGAGACTAGAGCATTGGCCGGCTCGTTCGGCAGACTTAAATCATTTAGATTTTTACTTCCCGACCATAAGCTAAGGAAGTATAGTCATCGAGTCCATCGGCCGAATTGCCACTTTCATATTTTTTCAATGTGTCATGACCTCCAGAGTACGAAAAAAGTGGTCTCCCATTTCCGTTTGTCTGTTTGTCTGTCTATTTGTCTGTATCCATTTTTATTAGACAAGTAATCTCCGAAATTACTGGAGCGATTGTTATCAAATTTTGTATATATAGGGTGTTATTGAAAGGTACGTACAACAAAAATTGACAGTTCTTCGCGAAGTCTAAGAAGTCTGAAAAACTTATTTTGTGTTTTCAAAATTATAAGGGGAAAATTAACCTTTATCCAACATTTTTAGACGCTACTGAAGGATAAATATGTAAAATTAATTTATTTTAGCAAATCCTAGCAACTGTAACAATAAAACTTTTCTCAAGACTAAATGTTGCTATAGAAACCAGAGATATTATCTCTAAAAGGAGAACACTTTTACCTGAACTTTTTTTAACTTTTAGCACCCATATTTCGAGACTAATTGCCGATTTTATTTTGTATGTACCTTTCAATAACACGCTGTATATTAGGAATATCATGTAGATGGTTAAATACTAACTAAAATTTGGCTAATCGTCCCCATCACCAATAAAATTTTAATTTCGAAAAATAAGATACTCCTGACTTTGTGTTGTGTGAATCCGTGTCGAGTTTTCACCCTAGACATCCAGAATTTTTGCAAAACTTTCAAAACTGAATAACAATATTTTGCAATATAACTTTGATTTTGCAAAACCGAACGCTCTGAAGTCTTGTAAATATTTTAAGGTTATCGTAATCATGGTAAATCGTTAAAAAAAAATTATGCGTTTATCCCTTCCCACAAAATTAATGACGTCATCTCAAAATTTTGCCGAATAAATCCTATCCAAAATGTGCAAAAAAGAGTCAATTTATTTTTTTAATTAAATCGGGAACGGCTCACTCCGTTTTCCCGAAAATTTGGGAATGAAATACTGTTATCATT